TATCGCAATTATTTTTTTAGATACGGGTCAAGTGTCTAAGGAATAAAACTTAAAAAACCTAATTGAAATATATCCAGTAGTTTTTTCCGCACAACTGCAAACCTCTTATCATTTTTAGGGTTCCGTAGTCAACTAGGAACCCTTATAGTTTCGCCATGTCTGTCTGTCCGTCTGTCCGTCCTCGCTTAATCTCTGTGATCGTTAGCACTAGAAAGCTGCAATTTGGTACCAATATGTGTATCAATCACGCCGACAAAGTGGTAAAATAAAAATTGGAAAAAAAATGTTTTATTAGGGTAGCCCCCCTATATGTAAAGTGGGAAGTGATTTTTTTTTAATTTCAACCCTAACGTGTGATATATTGTTGGAAAGGTATTTAAAAATGAATAGGGGTTTACTAAAATCATTTTTTGATAATGTCAATAATTTCGGAAATAATCGCTCCAAAAGTAAAAAACAATGTGTCCTCCCCCCTCTAACTTTTGAACCATGAAAAAAATCTGAAAAGTAGAACTTTATAAGGACTTTCTAGGAAAAACATTTTGAACTTGGATGGAAACAACAGTACCCACTACCGGGAGCAGTTGCAGGAGCGCGGAGCGCTGCTGGAGCGCGAACATAATGGATACCCACCATTAAACTCATAAGTGGGATCACATATTGTGGCGGACGGGAAACTACGGAACCCTACACTGAGCGTGGCCCGACACGCTCTTGGCCGGTTTTATTTATGTAGATTAACCCAAATTTAATGTGATTTATGGGCGACATCTTTTTTATCTACCGATCGACCCTTACGAATATGGGCGTGAAAATAAATCAGTTAAAGTAATGCATTACCACCATTTTGAATTTAAAAGATAAAAAGGACAGAATTATGAAGTCTAGAAGTAAGGAGTACCAACTCCCATTGTAGAATAGTTGAAAAAGTGGCCAATCTGTAAGCAGTAAATAACAGCTCAAAAACTCTCCACAACAGCGCTGGAGTAACTACTGGGATGAAATGATCTTAGCAGTTGTCGACGGTTCAAGTGTGCTGCTAAACTGCTCAGTAGCTCTAAAATCTAAAATAATTTTATTTAGTAAATATAACCTCGAAAAAGTCGTCTATTCCACTAATATTTTTCGGCGCGTTCTTTAAAATTCACATCGTAACTATAGTGGCGCTACCTTTAACGGTTTTCTACGGCCACTTTTTAATACACAGTCTGTACTCCTTACTTCTACACTACATAGATAGAATGTTTGAGATTTTTCTTCACATTTTGCCTATTTACAACTAACTAAATATTGCTTATTCTGAACCTTTCCTGAAAATTTGGCCGGTTATTAAAAAATGACCCTGTTTATAGCTCTACTATATAGATAGTTCTTTGGGTGAATACCTACCCTTTCAAGTTTCCTACAGCTGGAAGTAAATGCCCACATTTATTCTGGAGCAAGTCAGGTCTTTGTAAAAAAAAGTTTAAATTATTTTAATTTAAAGATTATCAAGTTTAAAAACTTTGGTTTACTTCTCTTTTCTTTGCTTTGGAATGTTAAAAGTTAAGGAAGACCTTAATTTTTAAAATTTTGTGTTTCAATATTTAGCCACGGTGAACAAGCCGGAGTTCTTGTAAAAAATTTAAATTATTTTAATTTAAAGGTTATCAAATTTAAAAACTTTTGTTTATTCTATTTTTTTATTGCTTTGCGTTAATGGAGGCCCTAAATTTTGAACTTAATGGCACTATGTGTGATGCAGAAATATCTTTATCTATGTTTTTTTTTCAAGAACGCTCTTCTGAAGAATTAATTACAAAGCTGTTATTGAGCCGCGATTAAGTGCTGTTTTCGAGTCCTAACGAATTGTCTCGCACGCAGACTTGAATACCTCCAACCTCCCGAACAAGCCGATTTCCGAAAAGGATTTGGTACCAGAGACCCTTCGGCTAATTGTACAGAAAACCGAAGAGTGCAATCTGCTTCTGTTGGCAGTCGGTATGTAGTTCGAAGTACAGGTAAGCTACAATGGCAGACGATTTGATTCGAGTACAGAAACCTACCCAATTGCAGAGAGTTGTTCAAGCTGACATATTCCCAATATACTTCACCGCTGCTTTGGAAGACGTTTTCAAGCTACTATACTGGAAAAGATACAGTATGAATATCAATGGCGAGTCACCTTCGATTTGCCGACGTTTAGTCATAATATGTCAAAGTCGCTGACTTGAGGATTTTAGCACTTTACGTAATGAACTTAATAGTCTTTTAACGAATAGGTCTTAAGATAAACAGGGACAAGACAAAGGTAATGTATAACGTGCATGGTATACACATGCTGATACTAGTATTTAAGAATACTATACCCGAAGTTGTTGACGTATGTTTACTTAAGACAAATTGTCTGATTAGGCAAGTCCAATTTCGTCCGAGAGGTTAATCGATGGATTCAACTATGTTTGAAAGCGTTAGGGAGATTACGAAATATTTTCTTGTCGCGTATTCTTTAAAACCTGGAAACAAGAGTGTTAAGGTGATACCTCGAAAATTTGGTGGTTTTTCTATTTAACATATTTTTTAAGTTTTATAGATTACAAACCAAAACTTTGCTATATGATTTTTGACTATATGACGTTGGATTGCATAAAAGGAAAACACGATATCATGTAATTTTCTCGATAGAAAAAAATTGCAAATTAGGCTCTAATTATTTACATTTCTCCATGACACCACAATATTCTTACGAATAAATTCATGGAATTATTTTTAAGGCATAGTAAATAATCATATCTAAGTTCTCATAAACCAGTTTTTTAATCATAACGAAGTTTTGTTAAAATAAATAAAAATGTTGTTAGGCGCTTACGTAGTTTTTTTCCCGAGTGCTTGCTTGGTTTGGCTATCTCATAATTTGCGTACTTTGAAGTCATTGAATCACTTTCATTCATCACACTCCTTCAGTCGTCCGTTAGCTTCACCGACAAAGGAATAACCCACGCCCCCAAAACTTCGATTCATTTTCAAAGTATCCTCTTAACTACCATTTCTTGGTGCCAGTGATGATATGATTCTAAACCATAGGCCTTTATCGCTGGTCGTATGAGGTCGCTCAGCGAGCTATACATAGGACTAAGCTCGTAGTTTCTCTGCGTGCTAGACTTCGTAACGAGGATATCCGCAGTAGAACTTTAGTGGTTGGCATAGTTCAACAGTTCAGGAAGTTGAATTGGCTATTGCAACTTGGAAAGACAACGGATGGGAAAAATACAATTTCGAATGGCAACTTTACACCGGTAAGTGAGGTGTAAGGTGGCCCTCCACTAGATAGATGATTGTAGGCGCTTCGGAACCGTGTTTTTTAGGATTCCTCGGGGTACCTACTCATATCTTCAGAAGTGAACTTATAAATGCTGTAATGTTGATGACAGTTTTTAGAAACCGTAATTAGTTAAATTGCTTTTACGCGATTAATGGTTTCCCTGCGTTAATGATTCTTTTAATTATATCGCCGAAACATACACCGCTCAGAATAATTTCTTTACGAATTAGACCTACGATCAGTGAATTGTAGTAAGTAGTTGCAATTATGATATGGTTTCCCTGCGTTTTTTAGAGTTTTATTGCTCAAAGTATAGTTTTCTGAAAGGATTTATTTTGTGGAAGGATGTTTTTTCTTATCATTTCGAAATTAATTTCCTCTCTTACCTTATTAATTTATTACCTAGTAAACCTGAAAGTATAGTTCGTAGCCAACTTACATACAACTACATTTGGGATGTATTCTTCAAATAGCATACCTGCGCAAATTCCCTGAGTAAAAATGGCATCCAACAAATTAAATAAAATTTATATTGGAATAACATTACTTTCATTTATTTTAAGTTATTATAATAAAAGTCGACACAATATTTTGCGAAACATGTTTCTCTTGTGTACTAGTTGGAAATTATGGCATTCTTATGCCAAAATGAAATAAATGTAAAAATACAAACTCAGTTGTTTATATAGTATTTACTGATTACTAGGTACTTTGATAAAGCTCCACTTTTTGTTTTACAAATCATTTTTATATTCTCTTTAGTCACTTTCTTAAACTAACTTATTTACTTAATTTAATAATATTTACAAACACAATATGTTTACTCTATGACATTATTTACCTATATTGATAAAAGAGATCACAGAAAATTGTAGCTGGAAATAATTGAATAGACCTAGCATATTCTACATGTCTACCACTTAAATTTTTTATCACAGTGGATTTATTTTTGATTGTATTCAAGGCAATTAGTAGGTAGATGATAGTTTTGTTATTGTCTTTTAAGATTGTCCAAAGCTTTGTTCTTTGTTTTGTTTTATTTTAGGGCTTAAGTGGCAGCACTTATGAAATATTAAACTCCTTCCACAAGCTACAATTGAAATGTTTGCCAAAAATAATCAATGGAAGACAACAATATGGTGATAAATTTTCAAACATTTAACTCGCTTATGTATTCTCCTCAGCAAATTCAAAACAAAAAATAAACATACATAGAACTACCTAATTAAAATTACAAAAATGTCATGGGTACGTAATGGTACGCACACACTGACATTCGAGTTTTGGCAACATCATTATCTCATTTGTTATAGTGAGATTACAGTTAGCAGTCAATATGAATGGTCCATTGCACAAAATTTAAAACAGTCTCTATGAATATAACACAAATAAACTTTCATCCCTTTTGCTAACTACTTTTTAATTGACACTATTAGATAAAATCACTTGGCACAAAGGCATTAAGGTCCATACCCTGTATAACTCCTAAGACTTAACCTGTCAAAGTACTCTCAGTGATTTATTAATGTTTAATATGATTTTATATCATGTATAACATGAAAACTATAGGAAGACTTATAAAAATATCCTTTCTGAGAGGAATTTGACTAGCGTCTGTAGGGTGGAGTTGTTTACACATAAACTATTTACACATAGTCTGTATCCCACTGATGTGTCCAACAGCACAGTTCATTGTAAATCATTGTTCACATTTTTCACTTTTTAAATTAAGAGCATAATGTTCTGGGTTGTACTCGGATTCACGTTTCATCATCATACTCTCGCCAATTAAAGCACTGATACGATGTTTGTCGTGAGTTAAGCTGGGCTGTGAGTTATCGGACCGGGCACGTTTTCTCCAAGGTTCTGATGCAGCCATACTCAAATCTGTTGGCATATCTTCTTCCACATGTTCATCTTCGCAACGTTCTTCTTTCATTTCAGTTTTGACTACAGATTGCGGAGTAACTCTCGTTGGACTCATTTGTTGCCTCAAGAGAGAGATGTTTTTTATGTTTTTAAGTTCTGTAGGGTTCCGCAAAAATCTGCAAATAAAATTGAGGGTTACTTATGCATACAGTACTTAGTTGAAACAACAAATCAAATTATTTAAATACTTACTGGTAACAATGGCGCTCTCCTTGAACTTTTCGTAAAATGTTAACGCGATAATAGTATCTAAGTGCACGTGACATCTTGTCGTAGTTCATAGACAAATGATTTTTTTGAATGCCCCAAAGCTTTGCGAGTCCTGCCGGGTCGACGATCTTGAAAACACCAGTATCGCGATTTTTCCACGCAATGTAATTTGTGTATCGTTGCGTCGGGTCATTTAATAGTTGCTGTAGGAAATCCCACAATAATCTACCATCTGGAACCAAAAAAGATCAGTGTAACATAACTACATTGTACTTTGTGGTGAAATTATAGATTTTTTTAAGTTTAAATTATTATCAATGATGTAACTTTATAATATTGTATCTTTATGACTTACTTGTGTTTGACTCGGGCATATCATTTGGAAAGAATTCCCTGTGCTGTGCGCGGTAATGTGTATGTTGGGACGCAGAGTGAGTTTGCGGTGCTGGGCTTGTTAAGGGAGTTTCTTTCGGTGAGCGCGGAGGCGGAGCAAACTGAGCTTCGTCATCTGAGTCAGAGTGATTGCTACCAGAGCTTGCGGCTTGCACTGGAACTGGAGGTGCATATGCAGAAGCATAGCTTAATGTTTCTCCTCTTTGTGGGCTGCCAGAACTATCGACCGATGGAGCTGGGCTTAAGGTTACAGAATTGGGTTGAGCAGCAGCTGCAGCTGCGCTGTGGAAGTGGTGGAAGCCATCGACAGCCCAGGTCGGAGTTGGCGGATGCGAATGTGGGGATGGAGGATATGGTGCCGCTCGGGCAGTAGGCGTTACTGGAGATGATGGAACCCTGCCAAGTAGTGCAGCGTCACGTACTAGCATTTGCAAAACGTTGTGTAAAACATCTCCTGCGCCTGGACAACGTTCGCCCAAGTCTGTTTTAGTTAAAAGGCAAAGAGCTTTTCCTGCAAAAAAAAGATTTATTTTTAACGAAGATTCCTTTTATTTGTAATTTCAGTGTTATTGTCTCAAAAATGATAATTACCATTCATTTGGAAGAGATCCATATCGAAGTTTGGCAAATCGAATTCTCTCTCGCACCATTTTAAGAAAACTGCAACGTCTTCTCTTGTCCATAATCTTGGTTCTGGCGGGAGACCAACTGGTAGTTGGGCTTTGGTATCACCCAGAGGTGATGGAGGTGGCGGCGCCCACGGTAATGGATACCGCCATAAAAGCTCCGTTGGACTAAATGGCAGCGGTAACCGCTCCATGCTTGGCCCCGACGGCAATTGTAGACTCACCACTTTCATCACGGTGATCTGTAAAATTATTAGTCACGTTAAGTACTCAATAGTTTTAAAACTTGGAAAATAAGCAACAATGTTTTAAATAGTCTTATTTACGGTAGTATAGCGTTTATTACTGCTACTCAACGATAGATGGCGGTGCTTTCGTTTATTATTAAAAATTAGATTAGGTTCTTATTTAAAACAATGCATGTTACATACATGCATTGTTTTAAATAAGAACCATGGAGTTCTTTAAGACTTTTTTTTTAATAGTCTACTTGGTTCCTTGACGCCGTTATAGCGATGGCGCAGCTTTTTTGACTTTCCGACAAATATTTTGACTTTGACCTTGACTATCAAGGAACAATAATTTATTTTTAAATGGCATGCTGATATTTAAATTTGTTTTATTTAATCATTTCGATTATGTATACTAATTGCATTTTAATTGCATTTTTTTTCTTGGCGTCCTTAAGCATTGATTTTATTACGATATAACAGTAAATATTAGTGTGTAATTTATTTCGAAAATTGAAATTAATACCTCCAAAATTATGTTAGGCTGCGAAAGTCGAAAACTAAACAATTCTAACATTTATCTGCTGTATCGTGGAGGCAGTTTACATACATAAATTGCAAAACATCCAGACCCGGACAATTACTTATAGGCCATAAAAATACTTGTTCCGTGCGTGATTCGAACCCGCGGCTCTCAGCACTATAACTCATTGCTAAGCTACTGCGCCACGGAGTCGTTTTTTTGAGAGTGTTGAGAGAATTGATTTTTTTATCATCATTACTGCCTTCAAACAGCTAACTGTTGGACATTGGCTGGCTGAATTTTAAACGTGGATGTTAACATTTCAAATTATTATACTAATTTGTTTTTACCATGAAGCAATTATAAATTATGGCACCTGCTAGCACACATTTGTGTTGAGATGATTGTGTCATTGCAATAATTTAGGGGATATCTTAACGCAGGGGAACATCCGAGCAAAAAAATTAAAGGGTGCAATGTTGCACGTGCGTGACTGTTATAGTAGGGCACAGTTCCCTATGGAATACTTTTTTATTACATAAAGCTATGTACAATGCATGTATTTGTTTGAATATAAATAACTGTAAAGTGACGAGTAAAAATAAAGTATTGTTTCACATCGATATGAAAAAGTTATGCCGCGACAAATACTTTTGTAAGAACTCGTCACTAAATCTATGATCGAATAACAAAAAAAAATTACTGTCATAAAACTGGTTGAACTTGTTTTTGATTGACGCAACAGGATATTAGAATAATTTTTTTTTTATTCAATAAAGATTACATGTAATTCTTATTGAAAGTATTTGTTTTACTTTACCACTGGTTCGAAAAAAACCTCTGTCCTGGTAAGAACCAGCAGAAAACACAGCGGGACTTTTTTTAAAAAAAATTACAATATGAATGGTTACAAAATACTGAATCTAGGTAGTGGAAATACTTAAGCACTAAAGTTCTTATCGGGCGGGGTCGGAAATGCGTAAATGTGAGATAGCGCGACCAGTGATAAGCGCTGCCACTCACCGGTTGAGCTGATCCGGAACTGGGTATATTTGTTGAAACAATCCTTAAGTGATAGACGGAAATAGGATAGTTCAGCACATATACATTGTCACAACACTTCAGGCACAGTATCCAGTTCACAGAGCACCAGGCACACTGAAACAGTGACGGTCCCTCCAAACGTGTCGTGTTACGGCACGCCGTAAACCAGCAGCGTATCTGAGGGATCGAGCTCGCAGACAAGCGTCGCGGGCAACTCTCCGACGCGGACTGATGATGCGGTGGCGGCGCGGGAGGACGGACGCACTCGCTTCCCCCCTCCGCGCTCTCCGCGCCTTTGCGCCATGTCGCCACACACAATATTGCGGAGAACGAGATAAAACTTCGGGAGTCAGACTGAGACCGCGTCCCATTTTTAACTACAAGTACGAACATTATTTCCGCAAACGTAAACCGTTATCGGTTTCAGTTTATGTTGTCAATTGACGAATTGCACTAACTTGTCAATTTATGAAATAGAATTACAAGATTTCTGACTGTTAGGAAGTCAGCGTCAGTCTAGGGTACGCGGAAGTGCTAATAGTGTAGAGATTACGTCAGCTGGCACAGATTTTAATAAGTCAATATTTCCGTGTTTGTGAGTACCTAGGCAGTAGGTAACAAGACTCGGCTGTTCCTTTATATTCAATTGTTATTATTGATGTACCTACTATTACTACTAATTACTTTTCTAAAAAAGAAGAAAAATCCTCAGCATCCACTTGAAAGTTTTGTCTGTGCTAGTATTACTGCTCACGATGATCGAACACAGGAAATGTCTCAAAAGTCACCCGCCGGTTTCCTGGTGCAGAGTGAGACAATATGAGCGCTAACCGGTTTCAGCTGAGCTCATTCCACTAACAAAATGCCTATATACCTACTATACCTATCTTTTTATTGTACCTAGCTGTGAGATTTGTGATATGACACTATCTGTATTGTAACAACTTCTTTGTCTTTGTTTTGATGTTTTTTTTTATTGCTTATAACTTATTGTTTTCTGTCTATGCATTTTTTAAGAAATTTTTGTAAATCTGTTTATACCGAGTTCATTTCATCCCTGTTACTCAATCATAAATCCTATCCTTTACGTGGAAATGAATTGAGAGTGCCCTGGCCTGACCACTACCGGTTCGAAACAGAAATATTCGTCAGCCAAGGCGGAAGTGGCCTCGGAATCTTTACCTGTTGCTCCCTTCGCTCGCCTCGCTCCCGTCTCATACTTTCTCGCTCTTACACACAACGAATGTCTATACTGGTGCAGCTTCGTGGTTAGGCGTTGAATAGTGAATAGTTTCATGTAGTGGAGTGGAGTAATTTGGAAAATAAAACACTGCAATGTTGAACCGTACGTGGTCGTCGTGACCGTGACCGCGGATATTGCCGCTACTTTCTTTGTCAATCTTTTGAATGTACGTGTTTGTTTCTAATGTTTATTGTACGTATTTCGTACTTAGAGATACTTTAATTCATTTTATACCTACTTGACTTTCTTTAAGGTCAAGACAAAGCTGCCCTTAGGTATTTTTCACCTGTTTTAAGTAACAATACTAAGTTCTAAATAATGATAATAATACTAGACGAGAACACAATATTAATATCCCAAGATAATATAATAGATTTTATCAACACAAAAATATTCTGTTGCATTTGCAGGTAAGCCTATTAATAGGCTCGGAGGGCTCGGAGCAAAAGTGAGTTATAATAAAGGAATTAATATGTTAGTGGAAGGTGTGTGACTGCCGGGCTGCCGGGTTGGAATGCGACGACCGACGGGCGGCCGGACTCGAATCTGAACATGCGGAAGTGCCCGAAATAAGTTCATTACGTGAGCGGCATCTAATGTAGGTAGGTACAGTCTAGTAAAACCTGGCTGTTTCGTTGTTTTGCATTAATTTAGGTTCTTTCATTGAACTTTTTTTAAGGTCGCGTTAAAGCATAAGCCAGCCATGGCAGTAAAGCACCTACACGCAATGTTTATATTAATGTAATGTTTATACTTACATTTTGTTTCGTACTTTCATCATTAAAATATCTAACTTTGCTTGAAATTTTATTAAAAAATCACAATCGCGGAATATAAATTATCCTAGTATAATCTAAGATGTTTTTAAAAGTAGCAAAGTAGTAAGTAGGTCCTTTTTACTAACTCTTAGAGTATAATATAGATATTTACACAGTTAAATATCTTTTCGTGTCATGAAATATTTTTATGCTTTAGTTTGTAAATAAAATTTATTTCATATAAAAATATAGGAAATCGGTTCCACTTGAAAAAGGAAATTAAAGACTGGTCGATTTGCGGCGCCGGGTACTCGACGGTTATGGGGGAGGGAGGGACATGCGGATTTCTGCTTCAACTTCCGGTAATGTCCGCCAACCGGAAGAGGAACCATAGAGAGGAAGTAAGCTGGCATCCGTTAATGTTACGAATGGAAATAAAAATATCTTGACGAAATACATTGAAAGCCGTGTACATATTTAAATTTATTTATAGGCTAAAAGGTTAATTACTAATTAGTAATTCCTTTAGGGAATAAATATTCTCCCTAATTTAACTATTGTTTAAAACCCTTAAACCCTGGGTTTTGGTCTGGACCCCCCCAGCAAACCCCTTGATTTTCAAACAAAATCAATAACGTGTGTTTCAACAATATGATATTATAATCTTCTTATTTGATTTGTTGATACAATCGGGTGAAACGGAACTCTTAAACTTACCGGTATGTGGTAGAGCCACACTGAAGTTGTTTTATGACTGCAACTGAGGAGATTGTAAATATCTTGACCTGACTACATGTCTAGACCGGATACCCCGCTATTAAAAATTTCAATCGCATGGAAATGGTGACACTTCCTTTGTGATAACCCGGATCACGGTTTTTTTAAATTTCAATATGAGCTATGAGTGATGCGAAGTTAGCCAAAATAAGTAAGTTAAAGAATAATAGAGGATTGGAAGTATAATTGAATTTTCTTGATAAAGCAAAACATTGGTTTTTCATTACAATTTTATATTATAAAGTTACAGTCTATATACGGCAAAGAGTACTCAGATCTATGAGAGGGTTTATAAAGCGTTTTAACAGTGGTAGAGCCACGCGGCAGCTTTGCTGTTGCACGTATGGGCCGGCTCAAACCGGGGTGGTACCACGACCTCACAGAATACCGGCGTGAAGTGGAAGCTCTGCTTCCGCGTTTCGTCTGGTGAGTGCATGCCGGAGGCCAAACCCCCCCAGGAATTAAATGATGATAGACTACCTCAGGAGGGTACCAGCACCCCTGGAGAATCCCTCGCTGAGCATCCACGACCATGTTTCTCCACTTCTGAGCGTGGGTGCTCAAGCTGCCCCGCGTATTCTGGGGGGGGGGGGGCAAAATTCCGCTCAAGACTACAACTGCTCGGGGCAAACGGAGCAACAAGACCAAGGCGACCCCTGCCACGTTGTCCGTGAATTTCTGCAATATCACGGGACTTCACTCTAACCTAAGTCCACTACCATCTCGAGACGGCGAGGCCGGATCTGCTCTTTCTGACCGAGACGCAGGTGTCCTCTCCGGCTGATGTCTCGTATCTCTCCTGCCCGGGGTACAAACTGGAACACTCCTTTGTGCCTCGGGCTGGAGTTTGCGTTTACGTTTACGTCTGTTCTCGACGCCTCGGCAGACTTGAAGGTTCGGACCTGTCCATCCTTTGGCTACGCGTAGACAGCGACGACCATCCGCGCGTCTACGGGTGCCCCCTATAGGTCCCATAGCGGTAATGCCGAAACAGACCGACTCTTCGACCACGTCCAAATGGCTACAGATTCGTTGCTACAGCAGATCCCCTCCGCAGAGAACGTGATCCTCGGCGACTTTAACGCCCATCACGCCGAATGGCTTGGTTCACGTTTAACCGATCATGCGGGGAGATCTGTTCATGATTTTGCCTTGGCATATGGTCTGACACAACTGGTTTTTTCGCCTACGCGGATTCCAGATGTGGAGGATCATGCACCTTCCCTGTTGGACTTTCTGCTGACCTCTCACCCGGACGGATATCAGATTTCCGTCGACGCCCCTTTGCGCGAATTTCATGTGCCACTCACGCTGAAATCGCAGTTGCATTCTGCAGGCTGCCGCCGTGTTTGGCACTATAGGTCAGCCGATTGGGATGGGATGCGGTCTTTCTTTGCATCCTACCCTTGGGGGCGGGTTTGCTTCTCGCCGGACGATCCCAACGTTGTTGCGGATTCTGTCGCTGATGTGGTACATCAGGGTATGGAACTTTTTATTCCTTGCTCTGTGGTGTCCACTGGAGGCAAATCTCAGCCATGGTTTGGTCGCTCCTGTAAAATAGCATCATGTTATAAGCAGGAGTGCTACCAAGCCTGGGCTGACGCATCAGCGTCCCGGGATGTAAACACCAGCGCTCTAAAAAAGAAGTATAATTCCGCCTCTAGGTCCTTCAAAAGAGTCATTGCCAAGGCAAAGTCAGAGCACATAGGCAGAATTGGCGAGAAACTAGTTCGCCTTCTTTCTGGAACCCGTGCATTCTGGTCTCTCGCCAAGGCTGTCCAGGGGAATTTCTGTCAGCTATCTCTTCCATCTCTGCACAGGGAGGACGACTCACTGGCCCATACCGCAAAGCCTGACGGAATCCCCCCAATTGTGCTGAGGACGTGTGCTCCAGAGTTGGCACCGGTTTTAACGCGTCTTTTCCGGTACTCCTACTCCCTAGGCGTAGTCCCAAAATCATGGAAGACGGCTTTCGTCCACCCGATCCCTAAAAAAAGGCGACCGCTCAGACCCGTCCAACTACCGGCCTATCGCCATCACCTCCTTGTTCTCCAAAACAATGGAGTCCATTGTAAACTGCCAGCTCATGAGGTACCTTGAGGATCACCAGCTGATTAGTGACCGCCAATACGGTTTTTGCCGTATTCGGTCAGATGGTGATCTTCTGGTCTACCTAACTCACAGATGGGCGGAGGCAGTAGAGTCCAAGGGGGAGGCATTGGCCGTTAGTTTGGATATTGCGAAGGCCTTCGATCGGGTTTGGCACAAAGCGCTTCTTTCGAAGCTCCCATCCTATGGGCTTCCCGAGAAATTGTGCGATTGGATCACCAGCTTTCTTGCAGATCGGAGCATCAAGGTCGTTGTAGACGGTGCAAGCTTCGATTGCAAGCCTGTTAATGCTGGTGTTCCACAAGGCTGCGTGCTATCGCCAACGCTGTTTCTTCTGCATATCAATGATATGTTGCAAACCCGTAATATTCATTGCTATGCAGATGACAGCACTGGTGATGCTCTTTACACCGGCCGAGCCAATATTTCTCGGGAAAACGTCTCCGAGTGCCGGGACAAACTTGTGTCTGAAGTCGAGTCTTTGCTGAACAGAGTCTCGGATTGGG